TCGGTCGTATCTCTGTTGCCATAAATTGCTTCGTAAGTCGTAAGGTCGAAGATATTTTTTCTTCTATTCTTGCCTATTTATCGTAGCATGAAAAGCTGGAGAGTAGAACTGACTCAAAGCGAGAAGCTCAACACCCCGACCAACACCATGACGTGTTATTGAAGAGCAAATTACACCTATAAGGTCAATTTAATAGGTTGTTTGGTAGTAAGATTGCTAGGAAACGCTGATGAATAGAAGATATTTGATGATAGCTATATGATTTTGTCGTGTCAATGATGTCGATTACTAAACTGCAACATAAATGAATAGTGGTTTACTTTGATTAGTTCATGAGAGAAATAGGGATGTACAGGAGATCGTGTTGTTCTCTGAACCTGTGAGGTTCTTCCGTTTTGTATATTATGATAGGAGCTCACTGAGATTATTGACACACAACCTTCTGAGGGCAAGTTACTTTTTGCTTTATTTTTTTTGCCTTTAATCGAGAAAGGGCCGCTTCTCACCATCGCATCCGCAAAACAGCCAGCAAACCCAATAGGCTCTGCAGTCCCTGAAGGATCTTCAAAGCAACAATCCTCTTCTATACTTATGGTCGTCTTCTTTACGAGCTCATGGAATCCAGTGCGTAAACGGCACGGAAAAGCTCGGCTCCTAGGTAAAAAGCCGGGTCGCTATAGGTTCTGAGAAAATCTGCATAAACTTTTCAAAAGTGCTGGAAAGCACTGTGGGAACGGGACGAATGGAATATTATATCCAGCTGACAGGATTCGCGTTTACTAACGAACGGATAGCTCAAAGTGTTCACCATGTAGAAGGTGTGGAGAAATGTCGCTTTCACTCACGATCGTTTCAATATCCGATCACCTATGCGTCGTACGAGCTTCGACTATTCAGGATAAATTTTGGATAAGCTCTAATTTCATCGCCATTGTTAACCATGTCTTAGTACGTAATATTGCCATAATGTAACACACGTGGATCTTGTTTTATTCGAATTACCAGTCTAGCAACTGTCGACGCGTTGTTCGTGTCCAATAGTAGGAAAGATCAGTGGGCCAAAAGACTAGTAAGGTTTTTCGAAGCAAACTATGGGTGAGTGCACTGTCGGGCAACAAGCGGAAGTAAACGACCGTCCCGCGGCCAAGGTAGGTCTTTCTCCTTCAAGATAAAAACGTCCAGCTCATTCTACTGAGCTACGTAGGCACTGTGTGTGAAATCCTTATATGACGGTATTATGAAACATTGCCAGGGGCCAGCTGGGCTTTTGTCTTACCCGCTTAGTCCCAATGGGATCAATTTTTCTACTCCGTTGTAGACAGAGGCGAAGCAAAATCATAGACGCAAGGGCCGTAGATACCATCCCTTCGAATAGACAAAATATTGTCTAAACAGACCACATAGCGACAAGACCATATGGGTATTATAACGCGAGATTTTTTAAAACCGGTTACTCACCACGACGCTTTAGACGGATCTGCGTGAATCCACTTATCGTATCGGCGTAGGATCAACTCAAGGACTTAGCAGCGAAATTATCGAAGCGGACCGTATCGCCCGCAGCGAATAAACAACAGAAATTGAATTTTGCTGTTCCGTCACAACCGGAATAAACGTCATGCGCAACGCTGTAACGACGCCGGAACTTCTAAATAGAACAAAAACGTATTGGTTGACTGAGCAACAATACACTTAATGTTTCTAGCTACCTGCAGTGGCCTATTCAAAAAAATAGCGTCCCGACATGTGCCTGTGTAAAACGGTTTAATTGCATGTGCAAGATATTTGCAATTATTTATTAGGACACCCCAATGGATAGGCATGAAATAAAGCTTTGCGCTTTATTTCATGCTTATCCATTTGGAAATTAACTGGAAACACTGCCAATTGGATTGCGGTTCCTCGACGACGGAAACTCGAGAAGGCTTTCTACTTATGGCCATTCAGCAATCCGGCCTGAAAACGCGCAACACTGGAAGGCAATATAAATTATGAAATTTCCTGAAATTCTCCGTTTATGCATAGCTTATCATTTGAACGAGCGCGTTTAGTGGACTTGTAAAGAAAGATAACGAGAGCGGTAATAGTTAGTAATTAGCTAGAAGTGAGACCATGCAAAAGCTTTTGAGGTATAAAACTTTTTCTGTGTGAAAATGAGAAAAAGGATTCGCTCGTCTAAACATCTAAATGATTACCATTATCAGAATGCTGCAAGAAGTTCGTCACCTACCCAAATGAACAGTAAGATAAAGGCTCACCTTTTGTCGGCGCTAAGTTTCCCCTGCCAAGTACTGATGGTTCAGCAAGTTACATTAGAAAAACCCACTGATAATTATAGTTTCGCCGCGTACATTGGCATCGCATACGTTGACTCTATCGCTGTTACTTGAGTGATAAGTTCACGTTGATTGTACGTGGACCCTTAACTACTTGCGTCCGCAGACAATGTCACGTTGGAAAAACGTTTGTTTAACCAATCGTATTCTGAGAAAAAAATCTGATTCTAGTAAATCACCGCTGCGGGTGTCATGAAAATGAACGCCAAATGGTTATCCTTTGCTACTGACCTAACGTAAAAAACGTAATTTCAAACTGGCCAGGCCATTGCGTTCCCAGACAAACCTTTTAAATTGCAGATATGTGTTGATATCAAAGGTGACAGCGGATTTAGAACTATCTTCAAGTTGTTTTATATTTTGGATTATAGTGGAAGGATTATGTGTATTTATTGTACAGCTGCCTCTTCTATCTGATCGTTTCGGCAGTTCTGCCTGATTGTGTACCTTGTTAATCCTTAAAAACTGACATGAACTTGGTAGATCATAATTTGTTCATTTTATGTGACCTGTTTGGCGAACCCATCCGCTTCGTCTTGTAGGCACGCATGAATGAAAAGCCAACTTGCATGATGTTAAATACTGCATTACGCTGACCGCTCAAGGTAATTAAACAACCCAGAATTCATCTTTGTATGACGGACTTTGTATGATTTAGAGAAGCGTATTCATCCCTTATATTAGTACAATTTCAGTAGCTTTTAATAAGTCAATGAAATTCATTTGGACCGTTTATTAAGACCCTTTATCTACTCTGTATCAGGGTGTATTTATGTATTATCGCAGCATATTTCTCCATTTTCTTTGCCATATCTCTCGTCCGGCTCAACACATCTCTAGATGTTGACTTTGACATCCAGTACCATCAGTACTCCATCAGATGGCTGACTTTTGCCAACAGAAATCAAGACGTGTTTACGTCCGGATTCGAACCTAGACCGCGATGTTACTCGCTAGGCCATCGCGAAGACAGCACGATACATTTTCTTGGCTCCCTTGTCAATGTTCAGTGTCAAGCAATTTAATACTCTTCCTTTTCCCCTGTTTTCGTTGTTATCACCTGATAAAATCGTTACGTTAGCATCCCATATAAGCAGCCTGACAGTTTTTTCTCGCTTGAACGGACTTGTTCCCGACGCAACAAAGCCATGTAACTTTATCGACATGAGCTTCAAGTTTTCGCTGGTAGCCGAAGTAAGAAGAATCGCAATAGCCACGACCCGATGAGGATGAACAAACACTCTGTCATGTGATTACTGCCAAATAGAATGGTGCTTGTAGCGCTCGATATAGCAACTGCGTTGGATACTAGCAGAAGCAGCACGTGTACCCTTGTGATAAAGAAGATAACACTTCAGACAACCCTCCTCTAATACATTGTAGGCATAATGTACATTTATGTTTTCAACAATCGTCAATAAGAAATGGGGCAGCAACGGCGTGGATACAAAGTGGCCACGGTGGAACCAACTACTGACCCAGGGCCAGCAGGCGTATTCAACAGATCTAAGTAGACACAAACATGGAATGTTGAAAGCGCACGTAGGAAATAGTTTGTGCGTAAACAAAAGGTTTTCAATTTTTTACGCATAAGTTCAGATATACTCATGCGCAGCTACACTGCGGTCAGTGAGTATATCGCAAAATGATATATACATACAATACAATGTATATATTTCACTTGTGAATCACCCACTGACTACAGTATGGCCCTGCGTATGTACATACATACGCAGGGCCATACTATATATATAAGGTATTTGCGCGCATGCCTTCATTTGCCAGATTTTCTATTAAAGTAGAACCAGCTATCTCTGCAACAAAGTAATAAGCCTATTATGGCTAGAAATCGTGCGTCGTTTTTGCACTTTCAGCGAAAATCGGCTATTATGTGACATCTTCGCGATGAACGAATCCTCACTAAGACTAAAAACTTAATTTTTTGCCTGAAGTCAATGGAGTACCTCTCGTCGATTTTTTAGCTGAAGAAGATCTCCATGGCGCAAACCGGAAGATCCTCCATAGGGCTTAGATACTACGAAAGGTTAAAAAATTCACTGAAATATCACAAGAAGTAATTTTTGACACACCTGGATCACTAGTACATAAACTAGTGGCCATTTAAAAATGGCCATTAGGAGATTAAAAACTGAGAATATCAATTCCCGATTCAGTTGTCTAAGTAAGTTTTGTTTGTTTGAAACTCTTCGTACCGACAATGACATCTCCAGCACAAACCGCGCCCTATAGATATGTATATATTGGAGGTAACAAGAATTTCTAATCTTCCTCATACTATAATACTTTTCTATACAGAATTTTTTTAAATATACAAGCCTGTATTGCATAGGCGTATCGTAAGATCTACTAAACAGCTTTTATATGGCTGGTGTACCTAGTTAAAACCAATGTTTTTTTTTGTTTTACTCAGCTAGAACGTATACGCACAGACTCTACATGGATCAATGATAACTTTTTTTTTAACGATTTCTCTGCTTTGTACGCACTATCCTTAGCTCATAATCATGATCATAGTATATATGGTTCTAGTTGAGTTAGCTAGCCAATAGCTGCTAGGCTTAGAATGCTCTACTAGTTGCTGTAGTATCTAATCAACTATAGCTACGTGTATAATGTTCTTTTGTGACTTTTCTATTTTTACAGTGAAACAGTATCCGCCTGCTCGGCATGTTCACGCGGAGAAACAGCGTTATGACGGCTGGTACAATAACCTTGCTCATCAGGATTGGGGAGCTGTCGGTGAGTGTTTCTCCAACTAGTTGATCCTGCTTCGTACGAGACGTGCGCATCCGTCGTGCGAATAGATAGAAACGTTGGAAAAACAACAGAGCAATATTGAATGCTCTAATAGGTCCAGCTGCTGCTTTCTGCAGCAGATGCATATCTTTATGAATCCATGTAAACAAATATGCTGTACCAAATGACATACGCTTCATTTGTTCCTGGCTTACTTCATCAAACGGTATGAGGACATCTTTCTAATTTTGATCTAGCTGCATCTATACACTGATCGTTAGGAATAAAATGCAAGCGAAGTTATGCCTAACCACACTAATTTGGCCATCTTTGACTGCCTCCACATCAAGCGGATAGAACACCGAGCGGACACGCTGAAGGCTTAAAGGCCTGAAGTTCTAATATAAATTTCCGTCCGGCTGGGCAGGCCGTTTTCTTGCAGTCAGAGTTTGTCTTTATAATTTTGGATGTCTAGTAATCATCTCGTATCGATAAGTGATAAATCGCACCGTAACGTAGGAGTGGCGAACTGTCCAAGAAACCTTTGAAATTGGTGGAATTTGGCTAAAGCCCAAGTAATTTAATCGATTTCTTGATACTGAGCTTCGTATATAACCTCTGCACAGCTTTCCTTGTCGCACGTTAATAAATAGTTTCACAAGCTATGTCTTACTACATAAAATCTCTGAACTTGTTTATCTGGCTGGATAGAAAAAATGCGACAGGTTTGAAGACTCTTATCCACAATACAGAAGTAATGAGCGCCACTTCAACACAGAACGAATTTAGGCAATCTTTATATATTTCTCTAATTGCTTCACGAAGGCTCCGTTTGGACGTCCGTAACGTCCGGCCGATGAGTAGGCACATAACTATTTGAATACATTTTTATGTTAGAAATTCATGAGTGGTGGTGCTAGCAACAGCAACAGTAGTAGTATTTGATTGAGTTCCAAAATGCTTGTTTAACCTCCATAAGGCCCACTCCGTAGGCCTCCGCCCATTGTTTTTGTTGCTAGTGTTGTTGTTGTTGTTGTTGTCGTCGTTGTTGCTGCTCTTGTTGTTGCCTATTCAGAAAGTATCTCCGTGAGTCGCAAAATCGTACAGCGCACTCGAGTGCAGGACCCGCCTCAAGCTCCGCGCACCTATACATGAGTGCACCCCTGAGCTTGCTTGATACTCTATTAGACTGCCAGACAAGATGGAATAATTTATGGTGCTTTCGCGCCCTCGACACAAATTGTTTCAAATACACAACGTACTTATCATACTGCCCTCAGAGGCATGTGGCTGCTAAAGGAGTGTGTTACAGTGGCAGTGCCCATGGACCGATGAACCCTGCTGCCTTCACACACAGACTAAAAAAAAAACTTGTTTTTTGTGTAAGCTATTTTCTGCAAAAGTAATGACAGATATAAGATCGTTGCTTTCTAGCGGTTTAAAGTAGCCTCTAGAAGTAGGAAAAGATCTACGGCAGTGTGTTTAATGTACACTAATTCGATGTAAATTTGATTGAAATTAGTATACACGATACGGGGCCGGAATACGTTCAGTCTTTTACGAAATTCCACATCGGCCCGAATAGGTTCGCATCGCACCATATGTTATAGGTAAAAGATGAACATGTTATTATTGAGTTCGTATAAAGCTCAGGCTGTTGATCAGCACTTGCGCTACCACTAAAAGCAGGAGGATCAGAAGTACGATCAACAACAACGACAAGCCCAGCAGACGTATTTGCTTCAGCTACGGTCACGTTCGGAGCGGACGCCGGGCGCACGTCTCTATTGCTCCTCTATTTGTCTGTTATAAAGTTTTCATGTATTATAGAGGAAAAACATGGCTAGATTGAGAAAGAAAACGGAACGGCAAGGTCGGTCGTTGCGGACAGATGGATGCCAAAGAGAAATATAAGGCTATCGGGAAGAGGTATGCGTTGCTGTCATT